TGAACAATGAGAAAGGGCTGCTTGCACCACTTGTCAAAACTACAAAGTGAAGCCAGACAGACTCTGAGTCAAGAGTCCAGCCTGGTCTATAGGGTGAGTTCCAGGACAGCTAGCGCTACACAGAGAACCCTGTGTTGAAAAGAAAAGACAAGACAGACAAGAAAAGAATAGAAGAGAAAAGTAAAAGCAAAATAATTCAAAATCAGCTTGCCTGCTCTACATGCTGAACTGTCGTGGCTGGTTCTCTGCTGTGAGAGACACTAAAACCAGCTTAGGAAGGACAGAGTTTATTTGGTTTACAGGTTATGAAGAGACCAGTGTTGGCACAAGACACCCCAAGACCAAGTTCTTGGCACAAAGGAGATTTATTGGCCCCAGGGGGAGGGGGGGGGGGGAATAAGAGACAAAGACAGGAAACAGAGCATGAAGGAGAGGGGGAAGGGAACAAGGAAGAGAGGGGGAAAGGGTATTTGTCACAGAGGACAAAGGACTGCCTCTGGATAGAGAGGAGACAGATGTGGCCCACAGGCAAACAGCAGTTTATAAAGATAAAAATGAGAAAGTGCTTGTTAGGGTGTGCTGTTTAGCTTTGATTGGACATGTTAATTAGGGCAGCCAAAGGGGGCTTTTGATTGCTGGCCTTGAGAGCTGGACCTTGCTATTCAGACTCAGGAGGAGGACGTGGCCAAATAAGGGAATAGACCTTGGTGGCTAGCTTCCGGAATGTGACCTAACAGTTTTTAGCGAGGCAGAGGGAATGGGGGAGAAGGGCAAGGCCTGCCGGGCTATTGTCCCTTCAGGTCACAATCCCTCATTGGAAGCAGCCAGGGCTGAAACCTGGAGGCCAGAACCTGGAAGAAGGAACGGAAGCAGAGACCCTGAAGGACCTCAACCTCTTGACTTGCTGCTGCTGAGGTCTACAACCTCAGGAATGATACCACCCACAGGGGGCCAGGCCATGCCCACATAAACCATCAATCCAGAAGAAACCCCCAGACACGCCCACAGGCTAATGTGATGGGGGCAGGTCCTCATTTGAGGACCCCTTTCCCCAGGTGACTGGGCTGTGTCAAGTTGACAGAAACTAGCAAGTACAACAGTTCCGTAGGCGCCCGTGTTTGTCAGGTCCTGGGAACAGACTGCCGAACGTGAAAGAGAGCTGGGCCATGGAGCGTCGACTCTCACAGGCAGGGAGATGACGGAGGACTCACTTCCGGAACAAAAAGCAGCAACCAGGGAAATGCAGCAAAAACACAGAAACTGGTGAGGAAGGTGGGGTGCGGCGCGGGGAGGGCGTCAGGGAGGCTGGCCTGGCTGCTCTGCTCCAGACTGAATGCCCGTGAGTTTCTGCATCCCTCCGGAAACACGCGGAGACAAGCTCAGACTTCCAGTGGGAGACGGCATCGGAGAAAGCCTTCCTCCGTTTTGAGTGTTGATCTTTATTCTTATTGGTGTGTATTTGTGTGGGGCAGGTGGGCCACTGTGCCGAGCTGGAGTTTCTGGTATAGCCTCTCTGGAAGCCTGGAACTGACCAGGGCCCCCAAGAAGAGCGAGCTCTCTCAACCACTGAGCCATCTTCTCCAGACCCGTTTCAGTGACTGAATTTTTATTTTATTTTTACTTGTAGCCCAGGCTAGCCTCCTGCTTCTACCTCCTAAGCATGTCCTGGGAAGACGGCTGTGAGGCTTATAAGCTTTTCTGTTTAGCCACTATTTCTGCAAGTCACGAAGCCTGTCACTTCCTTCTGCAGGTCTCCACCTCTAGGAACCCCTAGAGACCAAACTTCCTTTTCTGACAGTCACTGCTCTAGAAATTTGCTGGAGATTATTATTATCATTATTTTATGTGTATTGTTGTTATTTTTAAAGTGTATGTTATGTGTCGGCGTATGAAGAGGGCAGAGGGGTGTCAGACCCCCTAGAGGTACAGGCAGTTGTGCGCTGAGGTGGGTGCTGGGAATCGAACTTGGGTCCTTCTGCAAGAGCAGAGTGTGTTCTTAACCTCCGAGACATCTCTGCAGCCCCGCATTATTACTGGTTTCCGAGACAGGGTTTCTCTGTGTAGCCCTGTCTGTCCTGGAACGCACTGTGGCCTGTGCTGACCCTGGCTTTAATGTTCTTCGCTGGCACTGCCACCCATGAGCCACCTGCAAGGAGGACTCGCTCCGCGTGTTTCCTGGGCAAGTGTGACGCGCACGTGTAAGACACGCTCCGCCTTCCTTAGTCTGTCTTCCTTACGGGTCCATCTCAGCGAGGCGCAGCTCCCGTTCATGCCAAGCAACAGCAGTTAAATAACGCCGAACAGGACAGTCTTTGATTTCCCTCGCGTGGAACAGCACGCGCGGGGGTGGGGGACACTGCGGTCCTCCTGGATGGACTTAGGTCAGCAGCCCCCTAGCCCCCTCCTCCCGGCTGGTCGCTGGTCGTCAGTCTCCGGCGAGACATTTCCAGTCTCAGCCAGCAGGCCCGCGGTCGAGAGCACGGAGAGACGAAGGGCGGGAAACAGCGCGCCTACAGCCACTCTCGGCCTCCTGCGCCGTCACCCACGGGCGGGGCTCACCTTCGGGGACTCTCACCGAGAGCAGTGGGGTGCCCGGCCGCAGCAGCAGCGTGAAGGCGGAGTGGTTGCTGCGCAGCAAAGATCTCCCGTGACTTCCAGGCTGAAGCACCTACTCGAGGCGGTTTTACGCCCCCACCCCAGTCCCTTTCACCCGCATCAAACTCCGTTTCCTAACTTCTAACCTGAACTTCCCAGCTAGGCCAGGGGCCGTGGCTCCCTGCCAGTGGAGTCCCGTATGTACAGAAATGGGTCTGCTCAGGCATGTGTTAGGCTCAGTAACTGAATGAAATCCCGGGGAGTCGCCTTGACCATGAAGTCAGCAGTCCGCGCGAGGGCCAGCGGAGGGCCGCGGGCGTTCCTCAACCACGCCTCTGCCTCCTCTGAGGCCAGCCACCCCACCTTTTACATCACAGCTTCTCACAAAACACAGCTGAGACTTCTGTTACAAGAACTGATATTTCACCCACCCTCTGAGCAAGCTGGAAATTCATTTCTTTCACATATGACAATTAGTGGATGTTGAGAGACTATCTTGTGTCTTGTGTGGATGCAGGACCCGTCTATAAAAAAAATCTGATGGCACATAGCTTAGGGGGCAAATAGGAGGTGGGACATCCAGCGGGCAGAAAGGATTCTGGGATAGAGTGAGGCACGTGCGATTCAACGGGCAAGATGTGAGGAGGACAAATGCATGATACCTGGGTGTACGTAACTGGCCACACAGCAGAATGTAGACTAGGGGAAACGGCTCATAAGTTATGATCCAGTCAGAGAAGAGCCTAGGCATATGGCCTAGGGATTTGTAAAAATAGTTTGAATCCCATGAGTCATTATTCTGGGAGCATAGGGTCAGCACTTAAAAAAAAAAAAAAAAAAAAAAAAAAAAAAAAAAAAAAAAAACACAACTGGCTCAGACCCAGTTGGGCTCTCAGAAACTCAATATTGTTGCCCATTCTTGAGGTTGCTTTGGAATGGAGATGGATCAGTGACAGGAACATGCTGGGCAGCATGTGGACCTGCGTCCCGATCCCAGCATCACCACAAACGCTGCACATGGCAGCAGATGTCTGTAACTTCAGTGCTAGGAAGGAGAGGCAGGCAGCTCTGGGGCTCCACGGCCAGCCTAGGAGAACCGTTAAGTTCTAGGTTCAGGACCGACCCTGCTTCAAAACATAAGGCATGATGCTTGCACGGTGCCAGGGTGGTGGTTTGTTGTTGTTTGTTTGTTTGTTTGTTTTCACAGCAACAGAAACCCTAAAAACAAAGCTAGACTGAAGTTTAAAGACTAAACCCTAAAACTAAGATGCTGGGCACGAAACCCAGGTGTGTGTGCACGTCCCCATGAGCCACACCAGCTCTTTTGTTTCCTTCCCTTCCATACTTTTGCTCCTTTAAAAGTGATGCATCTTCATCCTGAGTGAGCTATCCCAGAAGCAGAAAGACACACACGGTGTATACTTACTCATATAGACATATAATATAGGATAAACCTACTAAAATCTGTACACCTAAAGAAACTAATCAAGAGGGAGGACTCTTGCTAAATACTCAATTCCCATCCAGAAAGGCAAAGAGGATGGACATCAGAAGAAGGAGAAAAGAGGGAACAAGTCAGGAGCCTGACACAGAGGACCTCTGAAAGGCTCTGCCCTGCAGACTATCAATGCCGATGCTGAGACTTATGGGCAACCTTTGGGCAGAGTGCAGGGAATCTTATGAAAGAAGTAGGAAACAGAAAGATCTGGAGAGGACAGGAACTCCACAAGGAGAGCAACAGAACCAAAATATCTGAGCACAAGGGTCTTTCCTGAGACTGATACTCCAACCAAGGACCATGCATGGAGATATGCTAAGACCCCTGCACAGATGTAGCCCATGGCAGTTCAGAATCCAGGTGGGTTCCATTGTAATAGGAACAGGGACTGTCTCTGACATGAACTGATTGACCTGCTCTTTAATTACCTCCCCCTGAGGGGGGAGCAGCATTACCAGGCCACAGAAGAGGACAAGGCAGCCACTCCTGATGAGACCTAATTGACTAGGATCAGAAGGAAGGGAAAGAAGACCTCCCCTATCAGTGGACTTGGGGAGGGGCATGCATGCAGAGGGTGGAGGAAGGGAGGGATAGACAGGAGGGAGGGAGGGAACCACAGGGGGCATACAAAGTGAATAAAGTGTAATTAATAAAGAATTAAAAAAGGAAGAAAGAGAGAGAGAGAGAGAAAGAAAGGAAGAAAGATGCATCTTTTTCTTACTCCTGTGGTTGAAAGGGGCTTTTGTTGTTGTGGCCATTATTATTGGTACGTTTCCTTTGAGAGGTGATCTCACTGCATAGCCCTGGCTGGACTGGAACTCGCAGAGATCTGCTTGCCTCTGCCTCCCAAGCACTGGGACCAAAAAGGCACGCGCCACCAAACCAGCCCTGAAATATTGTAGTGAACATGAAAGATTGTTTATTTTTTTAATGTCCATGTGACGTTATGGACTCACACTGGGGTGTGAGCCACACGTAAGCTCTTTCATAAGCTGCCACGGGCAGAGTGTTCTACCACAACAGAAAAGCAGCCAAGACAGCCGGGTTTCGTTACGCAGCCTCTGTAGCCTGAACAGAGCCTCACTAGGGAGACCAGGCTCCCGCCTCCGGAGTGCAGCACCACACCCGGGGCGCTGAGTTTTATGTTTAGTTTGTCAGTAGCCATCTGATTTTGATTTTGATTTTGATTGAGATGGGACGCCATTATGTAATTCCTCCTGCCCAGCCCTGTTGTAGGCACACACCGCTGTACCCAAACATCATTTGGCATCTTTCGTTGAACCTCTTGCCAAATTACAATTGCAAGCAGAGCTGAAATCCATTCATATCTTTTTAACCACTCACTCATCTTTCTTCTAGGATTCCCGTTTGGCAGTCTCTCACGTCTGCAAACTCAGGTAACACCCTGGAGACCCCCTCTGAGTCGCCACACCTCAGTCTCGTTACACTGTCACCGCCTGGCACCGATCTGCACCTCTCTCCCCTGACCTGACAGCCGAGCAACCTCCCCTGCTCTTCATGCCCTAACCGTGCAGGAGGGGATCCATGGATCAGCGGCCCCAGGATCGCCTTAAACCTTTATCACTGCTCTACTTAAACATATAGAGATGTAAACCTGGGTATTGACTATTAAGAGCCTTCATTTGACTCCAAAATAAAAATAAAACTGAGAAAACGGCAAACAGCAGCACAGACCCAGTGAAACTCAAATAGCAAGTGCCATATGTTGTTGAGCACACTGCTGTTGACCTGACAGTCCCGGGGCGGGGGCCTTCCGGAAGCCGTGTGTCTGGGCCACGACGGCTGCCGATGGAGATCTCGCCAAGCCTTGACTAGTACGGGAAATACTCGGACGCAGACATACTGTTTAGGTTTTAGTTTCACCTCTATTCTTACTCATTTAGGATGAAGTAAATTGGTTCCATAAATTCAGAGGTGGGTGCAGAAATTGAAATTACAAACTCACACCGGAACACACAGCAATATAGGTGGGTAAGTCTGAACTCTCCCTAGAGAGGAATGTTCAAGACAACACAGCTGCAATAGTCCCAAGACGGAAGCAACACAACTGTCCGTCAACAGACGGAGGGCGGGCTCAGAATGGGGCGTGGCAAATGCAGTGTCTTCCAGCTTCCCAGGGACGAAGGTGGCGACCCCCAACTCCGCTGTGGGGACACCGTGCTAAGCGACCGCAGGCCAGCCAGGAAAGGAAACACAAGTGCACTGTGCTTGCTCAGGGCGTGGGAAGCCTTCAGATTCACAGGGACAAAGTCCTGGCAGGGCCTGGGGAGTGGGGCCTGCGAGTTAGCACGGAGGTGAAGTGTTCCAGATGATTTCTGCCAGTGACGGTGAGGGAGATTACACAACAGTGCGGTGAATTTGCCACCACTCAACAAGGCTACGTGTGCTTCACAATAGCACGTCAAAACGTCAGTGTCAGTTTCGGGTAAAATGTTAAAGATGCTTGTTGGGAACACAGAGCCTGAATATTTCTGCGCCCTTCTCCTCCCAGCCCTGGCCGTTTCAGGCACCCTGCCGCGGCGCTTCTAGCTCCCTTGGGCCCTCACAGCGGCCTAGCTGCTCAGTGCGGGGAGCCGCCCTCCGCTCCGCCGACAGGCGCCCTCAGCCCTGAGCAGCAGGCCTTCCACGCAGACAGGCCTGTCTTTTATCTCCGGGCGTTGCGTGCCGTTCAGAAGCCGCCTGGAACGAGTGACGCACCTTGTTTAGCAGCCCGCCCGTCACCGCCGCCTCCTCCTCCTCGTAGGAACCCCTGGAGCTTCTGTCCCCCGACGCATCCAGCTCCGAAGGCGGCACTCTGGCGTGGGCCGCTCCGGCCCACACTGGGACAGCAGATTTCCACGTCTTAGCCATGACGTCTTGTCGTGTTGCCCCGGCTGCTCTCAGGCTCCCACGTAGCCGACACTACAGGGCTGTGGCACTGCGCCTGCCTTTGTCAGTAAATTTAAATGACAGAAATCAAGAATGGTTTAATGCCAGTGCGCCAAACGTGGCAGTATGTTTTGTTGGTAGTAGTTTGTTTTCTGAGCCAGTCTTATAAAGCGATGGTGAGTACACGGACAACTCTGGATTATTTGCAATATCCAGAGGCCCAGGCACAGTTATCAGGGTTCCTGTGAAGGCAGCTGCGGACTGGTCTGATCGTGAATGCCCGAGATCAAGGAATCCAAAGTGAGGCCTTCCTAAAACACTCGCACAAACATGGCGTTCACTGCTGTACTAAATAGGCTTTTAAGGACATTTATTATAGTCAACTTACCAAACTCAATTTGCTTTTTAAAAACTATATTCGAGCTCAGTGTGAATTTTGCACAGTTCACTTCTTTCCACACAAAGGTAAAACACCATCTTGCGTTTGCTCATTCCCCATCCTTCTGCTGCCTTGACGTGGCCCGGTGCCCTCAGTCAGTGATTGCTGGTCAAAGGTTCTGTTTCTCTCACTGCCCTTCTTTTCCTCTCTTTGTGTTCCCTAGCGTAGGTTCGAGGCACGGCGTATTCATTTCCAAGGTCCACAACAATTACCTCCTTAGAAAACGTCACTCCTTTTAAAGGTCTTTTCTGGTCAGCAGCAGAAGTAGTTCTGTGGAAATGGGGGGGTGTTTTCTCATCAAGCTCACCCTGCAAAGAGAGCGGGACAGACAACATGAATGACAGACCTGTGAATATAGCAATCCCCACGTTTTAATGCATAGTTATATGTGCATTGTGAACAAGAACTGGCAAAAGAATTTTCCAATGGACAGACACAGCGATAAGCCCCCCTGCTTGGCGCCTCCACTGACATGGCCTGATATTAGCTAAGGGTGCGTAGTCAAAGCCGAGAGCCCGGCATCCTCTTAGTGAGTGGAGGCATGGTGGCAGTGCGGGAAGGTTCTGGAAGGGTTTGGTTGCTGATACGGGAGGCTCCCAGGACTGGAGCGAGGGTACAGGGCTTGCCCCGAGTTCCTCAGCAACCGGAACCTAGACAACTCATCCCAGCTTCTCGTGTGACAGAGCTTAGATCCTAGATACCTTACAGGGACTGCTGTAGCTCTAAGATTCCAGGAGTATAAGAAAAATAAAATGAAGGAGAAATACTCAGAAAACCAGAAAACCAGGAAACCAGGACTGTAAGCGTGAAAGGCGACAGTGAAAAGCCTCCAGGTGGACAATTCAACATCTGGTTCTCCTTGCATGAGGACCCCCTCCCCAGTCAAGCAACCCTGAGAGCCCAACACGTCACCTCATGGGTGGTTGGTCTAGTATTTTCAGGCTCTGTTGTCCACTTATCTTTGTTCTCTTCTGCCCTGGTGTTGTCTCTTAAGAGAGTGGCCACCACGTCCTTACTCTGTCTCTGTACGAGAATGCCAGGCCTCACCGGCATGTTGTTTCCATAGTGCATTAGGGCCCTGGGAAGGTCGGCAACAGCTTTAAAATTTCACACATCTGAGTCAACGTTACCACACATAGAAATGGCTCTCCATCCAGATCACTGTATTTTGGTGTGTGTGTGTGTGTGTGTTCTGTGTGGCTGTGTTCTGTGTATCTGTCTGTGTTGTGTGTTTGTGTTGTCTCTTATCTGACTGGGTATGTATAGAGGTCAGAGGGTGCTTGTTGTCATCTGCATGTCAACTTCTTCACCTTATTTTTTGGGTCAGGGTTCAGTCAGTGAAGCTGACGCCCACAGAATTTGGACTGGATTGGCTGGGACCTGCCTGTCTTTGTCCCTGTCATACTTGACTTCTTCTGTGGGTGCTGGAAGCCAGACCCTAGGATGCCATGCCACAGCCGCAGCCGTCTCCCCCCTCCCCAACCCCTTCCCCAGCCCTCAGGCTTACTTGTCTTGATCTTCGGGCTTGTTCATCTCCGCGTTAGCAGCTAAACAATCTTCCCCTTCATTTTCATCTGTGCAAGGGGGCTTTACCGGCTCCTCATTTGTCTTAAGTCTGAAGCTAAAAACAAGCAAAACTTAAGAAAAGACGACTCTCGGGTGTGGTTCGGGACTTTCACTTTTACATGGGAAACTGGTACTTTTAAAACCCTGAGGTGGAAAAAGTAGCTGGTTACTACATTGCTTATTCTAGTTTATTTGGGGTTTCAAGAGAGGGTCTCTAATAAGCAAGGTTGACCTTGAAGTCTCTGTAATAAAGAATGACCTTGAATTACTAATCTTCCTGCCCCCCTCCCAAATTCTGGGGTTCCAGGTATGTACCCCCAGCTCAGCCCTTCGTTGATCTATTTAAAAGTTCGTTTTATTTCTAGATACACTTGCTACTTTGACTTGAAATCTAATCCCAAATTATCAACATGGGTTTATACCATTTATATAAAAAGACTGCCAATAACAGGAGAATACAAGTGACGCAAAGGAGAAGGAGGATGAAGAATATGGTCGCTGTGGTCTCAAAGGCTATAGGGCGCGATTTTGAAGTGCCCACTGTTTTCTCAACCTCATGTCCAAACATTCTTTTCTAGCCCAGTTTGAATGCAGATTTCTTGTTCTTTATGTTTTCTAGAAACAGAAGGATAAAAGGCTGTTTTCATTGTTGCTCTTCCAACTCAGGCAGCGTCACAGAGCCTCCACCTGCCTAGGTGGAGGTGACTCATGCTGCCTACTTTCTCTCCATAAAGGCGGTAAGGGGCTGTGGTGGCCGCAGGGTAGACTGAGCTAGGACACGCTGCTCACTCGGTTCACTTCCCCTCACCCCAAAATTGCCAAAACCCAAAGGAGAGAGGACTTGGAGCAGCTGCAGACAGAGGAGACCCCCATTCTCCTCTCAGTGACATCACACAGCCATGGAACTGCTCCTGAGCATGCTCCGAGGCGGGGAGGCCACTGACCTCTCGGCTGGCCTCTGGCCGGTCTCTGAGCTGGGAGGTGGAGCGGCTTGGCTCTGTCCGGGCTAGTTTTAGATAAAGATTTTCCAGATTCTAGCCCTCTTCTCGCGACTCAAGCCCCACGGATTGCTCTTTTCGCTGATCCGCTTTCTTATGAAGACCCCCGGCGACAGCCCCGGGTCAGGGTGTCCAAGGACTTCTCTCCAGGAGGAATGGGCTCCGCTCGCTCGTTACCCCATCTCACCGCGCTGGCGCCCCACACTCACAGCTCGAGGCACCAGGAATGGAACAAGCTGGTAAGTCAGAGGATGAACGCAACGCAGAACTACGGAGAGAGAGTGAGTGATGCCCATGGCAGAAAGGGCAGAGAAGCACTGTCCCAGGTGAAAGCCATCTGAGAAAGGATGTAACAATACTGGGCGTGGCAGCACACGGGTCTGCAGAGGGGTGAGGGGCCCAGGCGGCAGGGCCCCTCACAACCCTGTTTCCAAGCAAAACAGATGGCAGGTGCTGCCCGCTCTAGGCAAAGAGGTGGCCTGGGCAGGGTGCTCGGGGCTCTTCGCGGTGTTTCTTGGGAGGACCACCGGTGGATAATTTGAACTGCACAGAAATGTGTTCCCCACAGCTCTGGAGGACGGAAGCCAGAGGTCAGGTGCCTGCGGGTTCGGTGCGTTGTCCTCCCTAAGGAAGGATGTTCCCTGCCCTGTGCTTACTTCTGCATGGCAGAGCACAGACTCTCCTCCAAAGACACCACCCAAAGGCCCAGCGCTGCTGCTCTGGGGACAGAATGTCAAAGGCGAATTTTGCAGACACATCGTCATATCACAGAAGCTGTCTTTGACGGACCGGAGCAACAGGGTCTCATTCAGAAAGGCAGAACTTCAACCTCTTCATCTTTGGATTGTGTGTGTGTGTGTGGGGGGGGGGGGGCTAGGGGCCAACTTTTGCACAACCTGAGGATATTGGTGCCACTCTTAGCAGGGCGGGGACAATCCCGGGGGCAGTCCTGTAGCCAGTGCCCGGGCCGAAGGCACACAGCTCCTATCACACTTCCTGCTGCATGTGCTGTGAGACCCCGAATCTGCTCTCTGTACCTAAAGGGTGCTCCCGAGGAGGCAGAAATGATTTACCTTGATCTACCAATCATTGTGCAGGTATATACGCATGCAAACCCCAAACCGTGTACCCCAAACTGGTACACAGCCCTCTATCACGTGGACACTACTCAAATGACGGGAAGTGGACCACTTCCGGCCTGAGTTGGAGTGGGAGGCTGAGAGCAGCGGAGTGGGCTGTACTTGTGTGAGCTGTTTCTGTTTGCAGATGGTCATCACAGACGGGGAGGCCTGAGGCAGACAGGGGACAGTCGTGCCTGAGAGCTGGCGAGCCGTTCCCATAGGCTTCCACTGAATGCAGCATGGGATGGACATTGCACATTTGTATGTATTGTTAACATGATTCTGGTAAGCAGGTGCCCAGCCAAACTCTGTTGGGGTTGGTCTGGAGCTACTGTGTATTCAAGTGTCAATTGCTTCTTCCCTAAGATCCTTAGGAGCAAATCCTCATGTGCCCAAAATGATGCGGTGTAAACCTGGCCTCCCAAATTGTTTCTGATTGGCAAATAAAGTTGCCTGCACTTAGGCTGGGCAGGAGAGAGGTAGGCAGAGCTAAGGCTCGAGGGCTTTGGGGGTCTTGGAGGACCACGAGCAGAGAGGAAGAAGAGAGGAGCCATGGGTGAGCATGAACTAGAAGCATGTGTCTGGGAGGAGCTAGCCCTGAGGATTAGCATTAGAGAAGCGGCCCGGATGGAAGGCATGTGCAAGTATTTATGGCGTCGGGGCTGGGAAGTAGACAAGACAGCTCAGAGGGTTAATATCTGCCCAGCCCCAGTGCCTTTAGGCTCATCAAAAATCTAACAAGTTTCTGTGTCTTTAAATTATATAATAGCAGGTTAAGAAATAACTGCCACCTTAATAATTATATTATCAGTATTAAATATTAATAGTCATACAACAAAATTTGGTTCTTAAATCATATTCAAATGCATCAGACTGTAAGCTCGGTGAGGCTCGTTGGTCACTCACAGACGGCGCTGCAGAGCCTAGCCACATATGCCCACCTCAGAAATTATTCAGGCAGGACAGTCAGTTCGGCAAGCAGCAAAGGACTGTGAGAGGTGCTAGGCCGCAGAGACAGAAGCTCTGTGCTGAGAGCACTGCTGTTCTGTCCAGAGGACTGGAATTCGGCTTCCAGCACCAACATCAGGCAGCTTACACCCACCCACAGGTCCAGCTGCAGTGAGTCCATTGCTTCTTCTGTACCCCCATGAACACACATATCACCACAGAGCACACATACACAAGATAATAAAATAGGATTTTTAAAAAAGAGAATAGCTGTTGGTATAATTTTTTTTTCTTGAATGTACACAATTCACCCTTGTTCATTCACATGCTGATTTCTCTCCCCCACTATCTGGTTTCAATAGGACATTGCATTGTGATGCTTATTTTAAGCATCACCTGTCTCAAGTTTGTGTAAACACGCCCCCATTTGTTCTCTGTATTGTCAATAAAAACAACCAGCCCCAATGCTGGGCAATGGAGAGGATAGGGTGGGACATCCTGGTCCAGAGTGGGGGAGAAAGAAAGGAAGGAAGGAGCAGTGGCTCTGGAAGAGAGGTCTTGGAACTACATGGAGATATAGGACCTGACTAAAAGCAAGTAGAATGGGTGGAATCTGAATGGCAGGAAACTTTGTGGGCTTGGAAGTTTAGGATGGAGTAACTATTGCCCAGCATTGTGCTGTAGGTTAATTAAATAAATCCCAGTCTCTTGTGTGGTGATTTGGGTATACAGCTGGTTTAGGAATAACAGCTGCTTAACTAAAAAATATATCAGTAATAAATATTAAAAACCACAACAAATAGCATAAAACTTTACGCTACAAAATTTTGGAACATTTTGATGAAATAAGAAAATTCCAAGAACACAAAAGTGTTTGTGTGTAGATTGTGAAGAATCAGAAAATTGGGAACGACTAAATCAAGAAAACTTATCTTCAAAAGAAGGTCTGATGGCCTGGCTTCGCTTGAGAACTCCACCAAATCCTCCAACCATTCTGTCAGAGCAGGAGAGGAAACGCTGACCACACTGAGGCTGGCATTGACCTGTGTTCCGTATGGAGGATGATCTACTCATACTTTCTGCGTTGAATGAGTGAGTGCGAAAGTCGCAGACAGCCCGTAAGACACTGTCGAAATGAGGCACTTACAGTATCTGCAAGAAAGACAGCTGCCGGCCGTCATGCTGGAGTCCTGGGCAGAGCAGGGTTGTCTCCAGGGAAACCGGCTTCCTTTTCTCATGCGGACATTTTAATACCAGGACATAAGCAATAGTAACACCTGCTGGAAATGGTTTTTTCTTCTAGTTGTTCTCAACGCTGTGATGATGTTTTTAATACCCTTAGCTATTTTTCTTTCTGCCCCAGAGTTAGTGGTCCGGCCTGCCCAGGACAGGGCATCTTGGAAGACATTTGAAATAACATGCTGAGTCTGGGATAAGAGAGCCTTCTTCAATCCCAGCATCCTCTTCTTGGTAATATTAAGCAGCACACAATAACTTATCAATGGGATTTATATTGTATTCTGCCCTTAAATTGTTCATGTTTTCTTATGGACCATTAGAAATCTATATTAGGTTGCTTCATAACAATTTTTAAAATATTTTAATTTTTTTAAATTTAATTTAATTTGTGTGTGTGTGTGTGTGTGTGTGTGTGTGTGTAGGTGCCTGTGGAGGCCAAAGGAGGATCCCTTGGAGTTGACCTCATAGGTGGTTGTGGGGCATTTGATATAGGTGCCAGGAATTGAACTCATCTTCTGTGGCCCTCCGTAAGAGCACAGCATGCTCTTAAACATTAAGCCAATCTCTCTGTTCCCTATTTATTTTCTGTGATGAGTGTTTGCCTGAATGCAGATATGGGCATCACATGCATGCAGTGCCCACAGAGGCCAGCAGAGGGCATTAGAGTGTGTCCCATAGTCCATCCTTTTGTCCACACAGAGGATTGCCAATGTTCATTTCAGTGAGTCATTGGTTTGGTCCGAGGCCTCTGACCTCTGCTGCACTGTCCATACTGGAACCTCACTGGAATCCTCTCAGACATATCCTGTTGTTGTCCTGTGTCATGAGATCTTGTAGTTTTAGATCTGTGGGGCTGGCCCCTTCATGAACTCCACAGTTCATGGATGGATGTTGGGGTGGGCCAACCCAAAGCCCTGGAGGGGGCCTGAGAGGTATCTGAGCTGGTCGGCCGGCTGGCTCTCCTGCTCTCACACCCTCGGGCGGTTCCCCAGCCACCCCTGCAGCTGGTAAGGGACATGGCCATTCTCCCACTCTCATGACCCCGAGGCCAGCTCTTCTGCCTGCCAAGGATGGCGAGGGGCAAGGGGGGGTGTCTGTCCCTGGTCCACGCCACTGCTCAGCAGACAAGGTTCAAGGCCTGCTCTCTTGCCTGCTGTAAGTGGCAAGCGGTGAAAGGGACATCACTGAGGGGCAGACAAGAGGTGGGGCCAACTCTCCCATGCTCTCACCCTTGGGCTGGCTCAGCTGCCCCCACCTCACCCTTGCCACCAAGGTCAGCTCTACTGTGTTGTCCAGGTGAGGTGCAGGGCCCGCTCTTCTGAGCACTGTAGCTGGTGAGGGCCAGGGACGGTTCTGCTCTCCAGGACCAAGTCTCCTGCCTGCTGCCGCTGGTAACAGGGGAGACGTCGGTGGGGGCTGGAGCTCAATTCCATTTCTCTCAGGGGTTGCTAGAGCACTTTAGAGCAAGGCCCACGTTCTAGGCCAGGGTGTGGAAAAGGTTTTCCACAGAGTGTTACAGTTCAGCTCTTTTAGAATGAGACGTCCAGTGGCAATGGTTGCTCCGGCATTCCAAAGCCTATGGCGACACCAAAGTGCTACAGCTCTTGGGTAAGCTGCTGGGTGGGCAGAAGCACATGCCTGGTCGTCTTGCAGCCAAGGCCCAGGCCCGGCAAGGCCCAGGCCCGGCAAGGCCCAGGCCCCGCAGGCTGGACGGCAGGCCGGGTGAGACTCCGCTGGTGAGGGAATGAATGACAAATCTCAGATGGACATGAGGGAAGGCTGATGGTATCACGAGGCCAGTCAGCAGCATGCACTTTTTGGGGCTACTGGATCCATTCTGAATTTATGCCAAATGTGGGCGATCCCAACACACACTGTGGCCCTGCAGTTGAAGTGGGGGCTGTGAAGGTCAGGTAATTAGTGGAGTTCTGGCTGAAGTCTGACTCACAGTAGATCCAGGGGGTCCCTGAACTCCCCCTGTGGTTATTTCCCCAATCCCAGAACGTGTGATGGAGATAGACAGACTTAGAAGTTGGCAGAATTTTCACACTGGTTCCCTGAGCTGTGGAGTGAGAACTATTATGTTTGGAAAGGCTAAATGGAGGCTTTTAGAAGTGCCTCTGCCAAAGAAAATAGTGAATAAAAAGCAAAACACAAACAAGCAGACAGTATTGCAGGAGGAACTGAAGAAATTAGTGCCACCATCAAGGCCTCGAGCGATGCAGGGGTCACCACAGCTCCCTGTAACTCTGCTCTCTGGCCAGTGCAGAAGACTGATGCATCATGGGGGATGAGAGCTGACTATCGAAAACTCAGTCAGGTGGTGACTCCAATTTCTGCTCTCCAGGTGTGGCATCCTTACTTGAACAGATGAACACATCTGGTACATGGTTTGCAGCTATTGATCTAGCAAATGCCTTTTCTCAGTACCTGTTCAGAAGGACCGCCAGAAGCAATTTGCTTTCAGCTGGCAAAGCCGGCAGTGTACCTTTACAGTTTACCTCAGGGATATATTGGTTCTCCAGCTGTGTCATAACTTAGTTAGAAATTTTAATCATCTGTATCTGTATTTGTGCATTATATGGATTACATCGTGCTGATGAGAGCAGGCAAGCAGGAGGTAGCATCCACTTTGGACTCACTGGTGATTCAGATGCACGTTAGAGGACAGGAAATATATCCAACCAAAATTCAAAGGCCTCCTACCTCGGCGAAATTCTTAGTCCAGTGTGTGGGGCACGCAGGGATAGTCCTTCCAAGGATTATCGCACCTCGGTGGCTTTCACCGCTGAGAAAGAAGCACAGCATTCGGTGGGCCTATCTGGCTCCTGGAGACAGCACCTTTGTCATTGGGTGTGTTACTCCGGCCCTACCACGTGACTAGCTGTGTGTGGAGCCTGGAGCAGGAAAAACTCAACAGGTCCCGGCAGCTGTGAAGGCTGCTCTACCACTTGGACCATATGATCCAGCAGACCCAATGGTACTTGAGGTGTCAGTAGCAGGCAAAGGGGCTGTTTGGAGCCTTTGGGATTTGGGAGCAAGGCATGTCTGCAGACAACCATTTCCCCCTTTGAGAGACAGCTCTTGACCTGCTATTGGGCCTTAGTGGAAACAATGTTTGACAACAATGGACCACCAAGTTACCATTTGACCTGAGCTGTCCATTATGAGCTGGGTTATTGGGCCCACCAAGTCCTAAGATGCGACATGTTATCAAATGGGAGTGGTGTGCAGGTGATCGGGCCTGATGACACAAGCAAGCCACATCAAGTTTCCCAAATTCCTACTGTCACAATGCCAACTCTGCGGGGCACGCACCTTAGCCTCGAGGGCTGTGCCCTCTGATTGGTTGACTGGGGCCTGGTTTACCGATGGTTATAGATGTTACGTGGGCACCCCACCAGAGGACAGCTGCCGCACTGCGGCCCCTTTCTGGGATGACCCTGGAGACGCTGGCGAAGGGCAATCTTCACAGTGGGCAGAACTTCAGGCAGTTCGGATGGTCACACAGTTTGTTTGGAAGGAGAAATGGCCAGATGTGTGATTGATTGATGGCTGTAGCCAATGGAGGGGTCATGGACCTGGAAGGAGCATGATTGAGGAACTGGTGAGAAGAACGTGGAGAGACCTCTCTTTCAATGGGTGAAGGATGTGAAGACATTCACGTCCCCTGTAAATGCTCGTCAAAAAGGCGCCTTCAGCTGAGTTCGGTAATCCCATTCCGTGGACAGCCAGCCTCTTCTGGAACCCTTTCCTGCCATTGCCTAATGGGCCGTGAACCAAGCAGCCATGGCGGCAGAGGTGGTGCATAGAATCAACAACATGGACTTCCACACACCAAGGCCGCTGAGTGCCGGATCCACCGACAGCAGAGACCAACACCCACACCCGGATAGTACATCATCATCCCCCAGGGTGACCGGCCAGCAACCTGGTGGACCCCTTTCTCCGTGGAAAGGACACTGTGCTGTCCTGACTGGAGTACATACTGGTTCTGCCAAAACCACCACAGGGTGCGCTGGGAACCCAACTCAGGTCCTCTGCAAGTGCAGCAGGTACTCTTAACCTCAGAGCCATCTCCTGTTTTGTCTTTTGAGACAGGCTCTCCTTCAGTCCAGGCTTTGGCCTTGAACTCGGTACTTAGCCGAGATGACCTTGAACTGATTCTCCTCCCTCGGCCTCCCAAGTGAAGTGCGGTCACACCCAGTGTCAACAGGGCGCATTCCGGTTACTTTCACGAATAATTACTGCAATGGCCCTAAAGCAGCTTACCTACCCAGCAGGTTGCGGGCTAACTCGCCGGCCTATCCCTGACCGTACAAGTGCCCTACCAGCTCCAGAGGGTAACACTTCAACGCTTGAGGAGAAACACACTCAGCAGCTGATGTGACGTGGGTGCTCTAACCACGTGATGTATAAAAGCACGTGGGTGTGTCAAACTCTCTGCACCAGTGTTCACCAACCGTGGGTGTTACCTAAGAAGATGAGTAACGGCTACGCAGCTACAATGTAGAAAAAAGATTACAGAGATGTGTCACACGATTCGCTTAGTGAAAACATGCTATTTTAACTTAGGATTTTTATATCACCCTTTAAAAGCGTTTAAACTGTTTATTTTCCCCATCCAATGTGCATGTTAGCATGCAGACCTGAGTGTACTAACCATTTTGTTTCAGAGGTCTCCTTTCCGCCCAGCCTGTGGCTCTCTTTCTCCCCTCTAGGACTCCACCTTGTTCTCGGGTACCCACGCGCGGCTTCCTTGTGTGGGAACGCGGGCGCAGTCTTAGCTGCCGGGTCATGCTGGGCCTTGGCAATCGGTAGAGCCCCCTTCGCTCTGTAACACTAATAAACAAATGAACGCCGTCAGATCCGGGGCACGGCTGAGAGGAGGAGGAAACGACAGGGGCTGCAACACAGACCCTTTCCACATTCAGCGAAGGTCGGCGAGGAGCCGCTCACAGACCTGGATCACAGAGAAGCAAGGAACCAAGGCCCCGGGGAGAGCTGAGCTGGGAAAACTCGAGGACGCTTTCAGCAAGGGTCTGCGGACTGGGCACGACTTAGGGAACACTGACTTACCTCTCCTCACTGCCGTGCTTCGGGGCTGGGAGCAGGGGCGTCTAGTAAAGCCCGGGTCTCGGACCACGGCCGGAGTCCAGCCCCGGACGCAGGTGGTTCAAGTTTAGCAGCCACAGAGTGGGCCAATCAGCCACGGCCGAGGCAGCCCCAGGCCCAAGGCCGCCCTCAGGAGCGCCAAGGCGCCGGGAAGGCCCGGAACTGGGCAGAGGAGCCACGGCCGCGGCGCGGGAGCACCTCGGACACTGCCCGTGGCGCTGCTTGTGGCGTGCGCACATACGAGGCTCACGTATGTGGGCTCACGCGAGTGTGTGTGTGTTTTTTAAATTTTATTATTTGTTGTTTTCAAGACAGGGTTCTCTGTGAGTAGCCCAGGCTATCCTGGAACGCACTTTGTGGACCAGGCTGGCCTTGGACTCGAGGGATCCACCTGCCTCTCTGCCCCCCAAGTGCCGCGATTAAAGGCATATGAATTCCTAAGGATTTGCAAATCAGGGACACACTGAAGAACGGGTTGGAAAATTACCATTTCCCGTAAAACACTATATAATATAGTCATATATATATATATATATATATATATATATATATATATATAATTGTTAATAAATTCTAGATGCTGTAAGGAAACCTAAAGTTCAAAGTCTGTGTTTCTCAGGACAGTGTCTCATATAAAACCTAACTGGATATTCTCAGCCTGCAGTGAGGTAAAGTACATTTTTTTAAAATATTTATTTATTTATTACTTATGCAATGTGTGTTAGCATGTACACCTGCACGCCAGAAGAGGAAACCAGATTTCATGTTTAGATGGTTGTGAGCCACCATGTGGTTGCTGGGAATTGAACTCAGGACCTTTGGGAAGAGCAATCAGTGCTCTTATCCTCTGAGCCATCTCTCCAGCCCCCGGTAAAGTACATTTTAAGATTAAAAGCAAAACAAAACAAAAGCCCCACTGGTGTATCTAAGTCTGGACCTCTGGAAAAGCATCTGAACTGACGGTGAAAAGTCAAGATTTGTTTGCTGGCATGAGTCTGTGTGGACTAGATGAAAGAGTTTGAGACCCTTGAATAAGGGCCTGGGAGCCAAGGGCTAGGAGGATGTGTGCGGGCCAGCTTCATGTCGAGGACACAAGTTAGAGTCGTCAGAGAGGAGGCTCCTGGATAAGATCCGGCTGTACACTAGCCTGGAGGGCACGTTCTCCCTTAGCGCTGGCTGGGGGAGGCCCGGCCCTGGCCAGGCTGGTGGGGCATCCCTGGCTGCTGGTCCCGCGTTCTAACGGAGGGCGCAGAGCAAGCCGGTGAGCAGCGCCCCTCCGTGGGCTTTGCAGCAGCTCCTGTCGCCAGGCTCCTTCACTGTTGGAGTTCCTGCCCCTCCCTTTGACCCTCACAGTGCTGTGGAAGCATGAGCCGAATAAAGCCTTTCCTCCCCAACATGCTTCAACCACGGTGTTTCCTCACCGAGAGAGAAGACCTACTAAACAGAGGAAAGGGAGTTCCCCGCTGGCTGACGTTGAGAGAAGAGAAGCAGGAGGACATGGCTGCAGCCCCGGCACCTCCGGGAAGGACCCGGAAGCTAGGGCAGAGGGTGGAGACGTGGGAGAGTAAGCGGCAGACTCGGGCCGATAATCGCCAGGTCCAGCCTGGGGGCATTGTGCAACCACAACACACGACCAAACGCTGCCGAATGAAAGAACTGCAACACTAGCTTTTGAAAAGCCAGCTTCAAGACCAGCTGTAAAACACTTACGTTATTTAAAAAGTCATTGTAATGATGACACTTTCAGATTTTTGTTTTAAAATGCAGTCATAAATGAATATAAGAATTTTTTTTTCTTTAAAGGAGCCTGGAAAAATCCTCAAGATATTAAAACCATAGGACAGTAAACAAGGCCCCAGTGTGCTAAGATCTGCCAGGCAGAAAGATGGAGCTCCAGGGCTGAGCCCAGGTCAGGCTCTTCCGGTCTTCCAGGGGCAGAGGGCAAAGAAGCTGAGCAGGGCTTTAGATGGCCTCACGGGTGCAGGGGACAGAATTCAGGGCGAACCCTCATACTGTGGGACAGAACACAGACAGGCCTGTGGTAGGGTGAGTGTTTTTTCTCCTGGCCCCTAGCTCCCAGAATGACTCATGAAAGTCAAAATATATTTACAAATGCCTAGGTCATATGGCTGGGCTCTTCTCTGACTGGATCATAACTTACCGCCCATTTACACTAATCTACATTCTGCTCTGTGGCTGGATACGGCTACTCAGGCACCACACGTCTGTCCTCACAGCTTGCCGGAGCAATCTCTCACGCCTCACTCTGTCCAGAATCCTTTCTGCCTGCCAGATGTCCCACCTATTCGACCCTTTCCTACCAGATTTTTTTTAATTGACAGGTGATGCATTCACACAATACACAAGAGATTCCCTCGACAATTCCCTTTTCAGTCCAAAAAAAGGTCACCTTTTCTTATGTAATAAACTATATACAATAATAACAGTTATGAAAACTATAAGGTATGATATACACTCGCAGTGCCCAGTCCATACGTATTTGGCAACTTGGGAAAAACATTATATCATCTCTCCTATCATGGTGTGTCCAGAGTTCTGTACCTAAATAATTTTTTATCCTTACTTGCATTACCAACCTAAAAACATCTTCTTGGACCTAAAACAACCTAGATCCTAAACAACGTACGCATTATTGAAAGATTATCTAGTTGTCAACCCTATTAGAGAAGGAAGATTCTACCTGAGAATGCAGGAAATGCAGGCAAGCAGCTATAGAAATGAGACAGTCGGCTGCCTGGACAGTCCCTGAGACTCCTCCACGATGTTGGAGCATTGTCTGCAGTCTTCTGGGCCAGTATGTCTGGCAGACCTTGCTGTGAAGCGGGAATTAAGAAGGACCGCCTACCCTGTCTTAGCAAGTTCAGGAATCAGCTTTTCCCCTGCGTCCAGGTTTTGCCCATTTTGGACAGCGTTCTGTCTGCAGAAGGAGCAAGGGCAGTGTGTGTCCAGTGGCTAGCTTGCCACAATTGACGCAAACTTGATAAGGAGATTCTTCGGTGCTCAACATCTTGTTCCAAGTTGAATGGGGTGTTGCCCCCAGGATCTGACATGTCTCACTGTCAAAAAGCCTTACAATAATAAAAAAAAATTAAATTCCATATTCTGTAGGTCTCAGGTTTTTGAAGACTGTCTGTCTGTCTGTCTGTCTGTCTGTCTGTCTGTCTATCTATCTATCTATCTATCTATCTATCTATCTAAACTATCATACACCTGATTTCTATCTAACCTATCGTACACCTGAATAGGCAAACATTGTTTCTAGCAAGTTACTATCTGTTTAACCTAGGATATATATTTTTGTGATAATCTAGACTTGTCTCTGACAGGACATGACCATGAGTTTGATTGAGTAACTATTAACTTGCAATACTTAATTATCCCAAACAGTTTGTAATAGCACCTTTAAAAGACTGGATCTAAACCTTGTATTTATAAATGAGTTGAAAAGGCCCAATACCTTATACAATAGCTGAAATATATTTACATTATTTGTATCAAAAATAACCTTAAATTTGCATCAATGTAAAATAATATAAACTAATATAAACCTTAAATTTATATCAATATACAAAAATCTCTACTAATGTATGCAAAATAACCGTATTTTTGTCAATATATAAAATCTATACCAATGTTAGATTATTGGCCTATAAAATATTCATTGGTTTAATAGTAGATCCAACAATCTATATGTTTTCCCTATTATTCCTATATGACCTTCTTATGCTTCCCCCTTTTTCTCCTCAACCCTTTTCCCCTTACCTAAGAAAGAAAGGCTAGAGAAAAAAAGAAAGAGAGAAATCTCTGAGTGTAAGCCCGTATGCTTTGTTTTCTCCCTGATCGAGATCATTTAATAATGTGTAACCAACCTTTTTTAGTGACAAGCATCCATCACCCAGTACAATGACCAAAACCTACCCACCCTACCTTAAGGGAATGGAATGCCGCTCTCTTAGAATTAATTCCTGTGTATCTGGGATGTAGTATTCCTTTGTGAGGGCCCAAGAAAATTGGAAAAATGGTTAACAAATCCAGTTGTAAGATTTGTCGTCCAGTCTCTAAATGTTGTGAAAATGCAGGCTTAAATGAAATCTGGTTTGGAAGACTCAGCAGCTTTCTCTGAAGCTGTCCTGGAAGCAAGCTTTGATGGAGCAGCAGCTGAAGCAGCCTGAGGCTGGATCAAGCAGGGTACTGGAAGAAATTACAGCTCTGTAATTCCATATGCATAGGAAGCGCAGTGTACACGGATCAGTTAAAGATGATTCTCTGTTCTTTTTGTTTTTTTTTGTTTTTAAAGCAGGTGAAAGACATCTTTCTTTCTTTCTTTCTTTCTTTCTTTCTTTCTTTCTTTCTTTCT